TCTTTGTCTGCTGCAGGCGACGCTTCTGTTGGTTGAGCTGGTCCGTGAGGCTCTGGGCTTGCTGATCAGGTGTCTTCTCTTGTAAGAGGAGCTGCTTCGCCTGCTTGAGAGCCTCGACCGCATCCTTGTACTCCTTGGAACTGTCTCCCTTCCACTGCTCCCAGAAAGTGACCTGGGCCTGGGCCAGCTCGACGGGGCTGGGAACAGACTCTGCACGATCTGCTTCTGATGGTTTTGGCCTGTCCACGTCACGTTCGCCACGACCGTCAGCTGCCACTGTGTCTGGCGGACCTCGAGACTTCCCACGGCGCCAACGCCCGTGGCCTCGTCCTTGCTGTCCTCCATCGCTGCGATCCTCTGGCGGTGCCCAGGAGACTGCCCGTGTTGTTGATGAGGATGGCCCACCGCCTGCTGGGAGCGGGTCGTTGAGCCCCATCTTCTTGTGTGAGAGCTTCGCGCCACACTTGGTGCAGTGAGTTGCACCACGATCGGCCCAGGCCCAGCCGCTGCAGCCATGCCATGGGCACACAGATACTTGTTGCGAGCCATCGCGCCACTTCTATCACAAACACTGAGCCGATGAGAACGGGCAGTGCGAGATAGCCCCTCGGGCGATGGAAAGCCGCCGTGCGCTGGCACACCGTCGTGCTGAAAGCCTGGGGCGAGGCCGCCAGGCCTGATGGAAGGGGCTGCCCTTCCACCTCGCCCTCGAGCCTCTGGAGTCGGGACCCACGGTAGGTTAGCTCCGTGAGACTTGAGCCAAAATGGCTACGGGGGAGGAGGAGGAGGAGGAGGAGGAGGAGGAGGAGGAGGAGGAGGAGGAGGAGGAGGAGGAGGAGGAGGAGGACGAGGAGGAGGAGGAGGAGGAGGAGGAGGAGGAGGAGGAGGAGGAGGCGAGGCTGCGAGAGGTCCTCGAGTCCTCCGGCCCCAGCTGCGCGGGCCCCGGCCAGAGGGTTCTTCCGGCCCTCTGCCTCTCTGGGAGTTTTTTTTGGGTGCGAGAGTGTATATGCGCATGGCCGCCGCCGGGAGGAGCCCTCTCCTCGGGGACCTCGGACCGGGGCCTCTCTGGGCCCCCGGGGGCCAAGGTCTATCCATAACCTACACGACCACCCTTCGGGTGATAAGGAGGTTCGGGGGGGGGAGGAGGAGCCGATTCCCCGGTAGGGGGGCCCTCCGTTCCACTTCGATTTCACCCCCTCACCTCCGATCCGCCGCCCGCTGGGGCACCCAGGGCATCGGTTCCCAGGCGGTGGACATGGGCAGAACCCCACCTCGCATGGAAGCGCTTGTGTGGTGGAATGTCGGATGCCAGTGCGGGAAATCCTGGTGGACCGCGTGTTGCCCGAGCTTCCGAGGAGCCAACGCTTGGGAGGGGCCCTCCGGGGCCGTCTCGGGGCTTGCGCGGGGCTCCTTTCGAACCTCTCGGGCCCTCGTGGGGGCCTCCCGCTGCCCTCCTGGGCCGTCTTGTGTCAGGAGGAAAAGAAACACACAGACACAAGTAATCCTCGATTCCCCAGAATGCATGGGAAATATGGGAAGTGGGCGGGAAGACAGAAACCCAGAAAATATAGGAAAATATGGGGAATCTGTTTATCTCTGTGTGTGTTTATTTGTGTGTCCTTGGGCCCCTTCATTGTGGCTTTCTTTGGGCCGTCGTGCGGCGCTCTTGCACCGTCTGGCGCCGTCCGAGGCCGTCGTGGGGACCCCTCCTGGCCCGTCCTGGGAACTTCTCGCGGCCCTGCAGGGCATCTTGTGGCTGTCCGAGGAGATTGCTGTGCCGTCTCTGGGCCCTCCCGGGCTTTCTTGGGGAGGGGTCCAGGGTCGGCGTCGGGATCCTCTTAGAGTTAAATCGGGCCTGTCCCTCTACAGGGGGAGTATTCCCAAATAGTTACACAACTGTCAAGGGACGTTTGTTTATGTAAAAAATAAGAATATAGATAATTTTGAAGCATTTTTGGCATATTTGTGAGTATTGTTTTTTCGCCCAAAATCCCTGTAGGGGGACAGGCCCGACCTGATCGCAGAGCATGTTGACAGGTTGGAGGCCGAATCACGGTCCCGAGGCATCGGGACAAGCATTGCGAGGAGCCCCAGCAGCGCCTGGGAGCGCCCGAGAGTTCCAGGAGCCCGTACCCTGATGCAGAGAGTACGGTAGGCTCGTCTCGTGTCGACCGGCGGCGACCCTGCCAGCGGCGTTCGACGTTGAACGCCGCTGGCGACCCAGAATCGTTCGATGTGGGACGACTTGAACGTCTCGGAAACGGCCGATCGTTCAAGGCTGAACGATCCCCGCAGTGTCAGAAACCAACGCCGAAGTCGGCACGACACGAACCTGACGTATTTGCAGCCCCCCGTGCAGAGAATTCGAAGTCGAAGGGCCATGACCCTCCACCTCGGTGCCTCGCGGCACCCGTGGCGGAGCATGACCATGGGTGGAGTCCGAGGCGACATGCCCAGCCCGCCCTACACCCACGCGCAGGGTTGTGCGCCGAGGAGGAGTTTCATCGTGCACCACGAAGAGGGATGGAGGAGGACAAGCGATGGGCTTGTTTTCCGCCACCACCACCATAAGCTGGAGGGGGGGGATCCTCCTCCTCCACCTCCTCCTCCTCCCCTCTTCCTCCTCCTCCTCCTCCTCCTCCTCCTCCTCCAACTTATGGTGGTGGTGGAAAACAGGCGCATCAGACAAGGGAGCAGCATGGGGAAAAGACGGGTAGGTACGGCAGGTTCGCGTCGTGTCGACTGGCGGCGACCCCAGCGCGGGCGTTTTTCAGGTTGAACGGCGCCCGTGGCCCAGAATCGGCCCATCGCTGAACGATCTGGCCTTTCTGCAGCGGCCGATCGTTCAAGTTTGAACGATCCCCGCGGCGTCAGGAACCAACGCCGGGGTCGACACGACGTGAACCTGCCGTAGGTGGGTGTGGAGGCGGAGGAGGGGGAGGATCACTATGAAGACGTGGTGAGGGAGTCGGCAGGAGCCCAAACCATCGCAAGGATCCCAAGACCGTCCAAGACGGCCTCAGTATTGCCCAAAAGTGCCCTGATGTTCTCCACGAGGGCTCCAAGACGATCGTGCGCGCGGCGCGGATCCAGAAACCTACAAGCTTACCTACAGAAATTGGGCACACCGAGGCTGCCCTCGGTCCGGTCGACACGGCTGCGTCACAGTCGGTTGCGTTGAATTGGGCCGCTTCGGTCAGTTGGTGTGCCGTTGTTGCGTCGCTGCTCTCTTCTGGGCTGTCTGCGGCCTGCCGGTTTCGGGCCTGATCCTCTTCCTCCCTGATCATCCTCCTCCCCCTCCTCCTCCCCCTCCTCCCCCTCCTCCTCCCCCTCCTCCTCCTCCTCCTCCTCCTTCCAGTGTCCCTGACATCCGTGGATCTGTTCTTGCGCCATCCGCGGCCCCCCGGGTGGTCCCGACCGCCTCCCTGGGGGCCATTTTTTTCTCCCAAGGGCCGAGCTCTCTCGAGGCAGCGCCGCCGGCGGCGGAAAACCATGTCGTCGGAGGTCTGGGGCCAAGTCGGGCACGTCCCTCCACGGGAGGAGTGCTCAAAGATAGTCCCAAAGTAGTTTGGGAACAATTCTTGGACTATTTTTGATCATCCTGGGATATTTTCGATTATTTTCCCCAATCAGAGCTTGCCTCTGTAGGGGTCCTAGCGGATTCATATGGTTAGGTGAGGTGCGTCGCCGATTTCGGCGGCCCGCGCGGGTGACCGGGTGCCCGGGTGCCTGGGTGCCTGGGTGCCCGGGAGCTGCGTCGCCGATTTCGCGGGCCTTACATCTATATACCTACACCCGTTACCGGGTACCTATACATCTATACTTATATCCGTTCCCAGGTACCAATGCCTTACATTTATATCTATATGATACCGGAGAAAAGCCCCAATCAGGGCTATAGGGCTAGGAGGCTATAGGGCTACAGGGCTATTGAGCTATAGGGCTGTAGAGCTATAGGGCTATAGAGTTGTAGGGCTATAGGGCTATTGGGCTATAGGGCTATAGGGCTATAGGGCTTAGGGCTGTAGGGCTATAGCGCTATAGGGCACCCCCAGGCACCCCCGGGCACGCCCGGGCACCCCCCGGGCACACGGGCCCCAGGCACCCCCGGGCACCCGTGCACCCGGGCGTGCAGCGAAAATCGGCGACAAACCTAACCTAACCATATGAATCCGCTAGGACCCTTACAGAGGTAAGCTCTGATTTGGGAACATCTATGCCCGGGCGCGCCCGGGTGCCCGGATGCCCAGGCGCCCGGATGCCCAGGTGCCCGGATGCCCAGGTGCCCGAGTGCCCGGGTGCCCGGTAGCTCTATGACCTGTAGCCCTATATCTTTACAACTTTCAAGCCCTATAGACTTATAGCCCTATAACCCCACAGCCCTATAGCCATATAGCCCAATTGCCCTATAGCCCTATAGCCCTATAGCCCTATAGCTCTATAGCCCTATAGCACTATAGCATTATAACCCTATAGCCCTATAGCCCTACAACCCTATAGCCCTATAGCCTTATAGCCTATATATATATAGCCCTACAACCCCATAGCCCTATAGCCCTATAGCCCGTAGCCTTATGGCCTTATAGCCCCCTAGCCCTATAGCCCTATAGCCCCACAGCCCTCTATAGCCCTATAGCCCTACAGCTATAGCCCTATAGCCCACCTTCCCGATAGCCATATAGCTCTATACGCTTATAGCCCTACAGCCCTATAGCCCTATAGCTCTATAGACCTATCGCCCTATGGTCCTATAGCCCTATAGCCCCATAGCCCCATGGCTCTAAAAGTATCATTATTGTTTTTGCTCTCTATCATGTTAGTCTGTCGTCCAACATCCGCCTGTAGGGGACATGCCCGACCTAACTCGGGGATTTGATCCCCGTGGGCTACCTTTGGTGAGCTCTGCCCTCTCGTCCTCGCCGCCCCTCCTCTGGCGGCCCATCTTTTGCGCCCCGCGCCTGCTCTTTGGCGCCCCGCGTCTCGCTGCCTGTCCCCCCGAGGTGGAGCTCAACCCCTTCGACGCCGAGACGGCACCCCAGGCGGTGATTCGCGGAGGAGGAGGAGGAGGAGGAGGAGGAGGAGGAGGAGGGGAGGCGAGGAGGAGGAGGAGGAGAGGAGGAGGAGGAGGAGGAGAGGAGGGAGGAGGAGGAGGAGGGAGGAGGAGGAAGGAGGAGGAGGAGGAGGTAGAGGAGGAGGAGGAGGAGGAGGAGGAGGAGGAGGTAAGGAGGGAGGGAGGAGGAGGAGAGAGGAGGAGAGGAGGAGGAGGGGGGAGGAGGAGGAGGGGTAGGAGGGGAGGGAGGAGGGAGGGAGGAGGAGGAGGGGTAGGAGGAGGAGGGAGGAGGAGGAGGAGGAGGAGGAGGAGGAGGAGGAGGAGGAGGAGGAGGAGGAGGAGGGGGAGGAGGAGGAAAATAATGAAGGGAAGGGGAGGGGGGAAGGAGGCGCGGGGGGGGGGAGCGGGAGAGGAGGAGCAGGATGAGGAGGACGGGGGTCGGAGGAGGAGGATGAGTATGATGAGTATGCTGATGATGATGATGATGATGATGATGATGATGATGATGATGATGATGATGATGAGGCTGATGATGATGCCAATGCTGTTGCTGAGGCTGCTGTTGAGGATGATGATGCTGATGCTGATGCTGATGCTGATGCTGATGCTGATGCTGACGCTGATGATCGTGATGATGATTGTGATGGTGATGCTGCGGCTGCTGCTGCTGATGATGATGCTGATGATGCTGGTGACTATGATGATGCTGACGATGCTGATGATGATGATGCTGCTGATGATGATGATGATGATGCTGTTGATGGCGGTGGTGCTGATGATGACGATGATGATGATGATGATGATGATGATGCTGATGATGATCATGATGCCGATGATGCTGATGATGCTGCTGCTGATGATGATGCGGATTCTGATGACGATGATGATGATGATGATGATGATGATGATGATGATGATGATGATGATGATGATGCTGGGAGTGGTGATGAAGACGATGCTGATGAGGAGGAGGAGGATAACGGGGAGGAGGAGGAGGAGGAGGAGGAGGAGGAGATGGAGGATGCGGAGGAGGATGAAGAACGTGCTGATGATGGTGATGGTGATGGGTGGTGATGATGATGATGATGCTGCTGCTGATGATGATGATGATGATGATGATGATGATGATGATGATTATGATAATGATGATGATGTTTTGCGATGATGACGACAATGATGAACATGAGGGTAATGATGATGATGTTGCTGATGATGATGCTGCTGATGCTGTTGATGGCGATGGTGTTGATGACGATGATGATGATGAGGATGATGATGATGGCGATGATGATGATGATGATGCTGCTGATGATGATGATGATGATGATGATGATGATGATGATGTTGCTGCTGCTGATGATGATGATGATGATGATGATGATCATGATGTCGATGAAACTGATGATGCTGCTGCTGATGATGCTGATTATGATGATGATGCTGGTGGTGGTGCTGATGCTGATGATGCTGATGAGGAGTAGGAGGAGGATAACGGGGAGGAGGAGGAGGAGGAGGAGGAGGAGGAGGAGGAGGAGGAGGATATGGAGGATGCGGAGGAGGAGGAGGAAGAACGTGCTGATGATGGTGATGGTGATGATGATGATGATGATGATGATGATGATGACGACAATGATGCACATTAGGATAATGATGATGCTGATGATGTTGCAAATGATGATGAGGCTGATGATGCTGATGCTGATGTTGATGATGATGATGCTGATGCTGCTGATGCTGCTGATGATGCTGATGCTGATGATGATGCTGATGATGCTGCTGCTGATGATGCTGATGCTGCTGCTGATGATGATGCTTCTGCTGATGCTGCTGCTGATGATGATGCTGTTTTTTATGATGATTCTGATGCTCAATATGATGATGATGAGGCTGATGCTGCTGCTGATGATGCTGCTGATACTGATCATGCTGCTGATGATGATGGTGGCGATGCTGATTGTGATGATGATGCTGATAATGCTGATGCTGATGCTGCTTCTGCTGATGATGATGATGATGATGGCGATGCTGTTGATGATGCTGATGATGATGATGATCATGGTGGTGGTGGTGGCGGTGGTTGTGATGATGATGATGATGCTGATGATGATGATGATGATGTTGATTATGAGTATGATGATGCTGATGCTGATTCTTATTATGACGATGATGATGATGATGATGATGATGATGATGATGATGATGATGATGATGATGATGCTGATGCTGATGATGATGATGATGATGGTGATGTTGATGATGCTGCTGATGATGATGATGCTGATGATGATGATGTCGATGATGATGCTGATGCTGATGTTGATGCTGATGCTGATGATGTTGATGATGTTGGTTGTGATGCTGATGCTGATGAGGAGGAGGATGAGGAGGAGGAGGATGAGGAGGATGTGGAGGAGGAGGAGGATAACGGGAGGAGGAGGAGGAGGAGGAGGAGGAGGAGGAGGAGAGGAGGAGGAGG